TGGTCTTTTTCCGGATACACTTGCTCTTTTTGAATGTGTGACATGAGCAGAGAAGTCTCTTGCTTTCGCGCTATGTGATGAATACGTGGAAAGCATTCATCATGATGGAAACACAAGCTCCAGGCGATCACTGAGAAAGGGTTAATTGTGCTGAGCATTTTGCTATTTTTCGTATCCTGTCCTTTTATGGTGTGAGGTTGAATTTATACGAGAAAGTGGAGATGTCCTCAACGCGCTGTTTTAGTCACATAGAAATCCACACTGCACTAGTCCGAGGTTCTGTTGCCGTCGTGAGTTCAGTAAGTGACGCTGACACTGAATTGGTGAGCTATAAAGATTAGGTATCCTCCCCACTGGAATAGATCCACAAGTCTTCGGGCTACAGCTGATTCCGTGATCTGATGTGGACTCTCCAGTAAAATTTACCTGTGATTGTCATAATGAGTATGACTTTGCGTCCATTGCGGTCCTGTTTCATTGGATGCTCCCTTCCATTTGGATACGGAAATTGATGTTTTCCAAGCCAGTGATTTACTTCTAGTTTGCCAACGGCATGTCTCATCCCAATCTCGTTGTATTTGGATCTCTCATGGGCATATTGGATGCAACATCGCACGTCTCATAGTCCCCTCTAGCAATAATTACTGAGAAATGTCATTCTGTTGAACTGGACATAGCAACTCGTTAAAAGGAAAACTCAAAGAGGGCTGAATACGAGGGAATAGTACGGAATCTCTTATACGATACCATTCAATTTAAATGATGATAAAGTGCACGTTGGAGGAAAAATCACCAGTTCGAAAATTTGGACTTCAGAATTCTGCTGAATAGGGATAGCTAATGAAAAGGGTTCGCAAGCGGTGGCGATAACAAAAAGGACGAGGAGATCAAAATGCAGTGCAAAGATTTCAAGTTAGCTGATGAGCTCTACGCTATTTATTTAGATTTGGACGATTCGTTCAACAAAAGCAATACAAAGCGGTGGAATTGAAATTCATTATGAATAGGGGTCGAGGCAAGAATTTCAAAACAGCTTTTTAATGTAATCAACGACAATAGATTTTCCCACAAACTGTTCTCTTAACAAGGTAGATTCACCTCATTGATTCTCATTATGTACTGCAAGTTGCTGTGAAGTGGAATGTATCACAACTCCAAATGATCGTGGCACAATCACTTCGAAGTAACTCTGCAGTTGGTTCGATAATTGAACGTGCAGAACGAAAAGAAGTCGAAGGAAGAATCGAGATTGGTCGCGCTCCACTGTAGATCGGCCAATTATGTAAATCTAGCGGTTAGCTGATGTGGACGAGTTGTTTGGCCAAGGACATGGGAGGAGCGACGGTGGCAATTACGGTCCATGCGTCCCGATGGCAAAGTTGCTGCGAAGGGCCGCGCCAAACGACCGCCTCCCGATCCCGGGACCTCTCGCACCCTAAGCGAGAATCATACCACTAGACCACTCAGCCTGCGATCGAACGCAACGACGTATTCATGCGCGAACCACGTCCTGAAGCACCACTTTAGTTAATGCTAAAAGTCGGGCTGAGCCGGGGATCGATCCCGGGACCTCTCGCACCCTAAGCGAGAATCATACCACTAGACCACTCAGCCTGCGATCGAACGCAACGACGTATTCATGCGCGAACCCTGTCCGAAGCACCACTTTAGTTAATGCTAAAAGTCGGGCTGAGCCGGGGATCGATCCCGGGACCTCTCGCACCCTAAGCGAGAATCATACCACTAGACCACTCAGCCTGCGATCGAACGCAACGGACGTATTCATGCGCGAACCCACGTCTGAAGCACCACTTTAGTTAATGCTAAAAGTCGGGCTGAGCCGGGGATCGATCCCGGGACCTCTCGCACCCTAAGCGAGAATCATACCACTAGACCACTCAGCCTGCGATCGAACGCAACGAACGTATTCATGCGCGAACCACTGAAGCACCACTTTAGTTAATGCTAAAAGTCGGGCTGAGCCGGGGATCGATCCCGGGACCTCTCGCACCCTAAGCGAGAATCATACCACTAGACCACTCAGCCTGCGATTGGACGCAGCGAACGTATTTATGCGCGTACCCTGTCTGAAGCACCGGCACTTTTTAGTACTGCTAAAAGTTGGCATGAGCCAGGGATGCGATCCGCGGCACCTCTTCGCACTCCTACGCGAGACATCAATCCACTGAGAACCCCTCAGCCTGTCGTCCAAGACGCACGAAACGTATTCATGCGCGAACCCTTTCTTACTTAGTGCAAAATATGTCCTAACGCAGCCATTATAATGATCGCTAAAAATAGAACACTTCTGAGCACAGCTCGCATCCTAAGCGAGAATCTTATAATTGCATCCTTTGTCCTCATCAGTCATTCCAGAAAGGGTCGCTTTTCCATCGTCTCCAAATGATACAGCCACCCCGTGTTTCTTCGTTGCATTTCATTTCTGATCAATGAAACTGATTGGCAGTACTCAATTGTTCTTTCTTAGGTTATCAGGAAAGGAAAGCAACTATTGGACTTTGAAAAGGGGAACTTATCAGGAAGAAGGAAAAACTAAGCGCAAGGTGGTTACATTTTCTGCCGTTCTTTTACCGCGTTATGCTCCAGATGGTTCCGTCCTGGAGGAATGCTTTTATTAGCGAGGAAAAACTCGAAGGTAAAGCAGATAAGAAGTAAAACACAACAGGCCGAAAATGGATCCTGCTCCCTTGGTCGGACTTCCCTGCAAAAATGACTTCAGCCCCCCTTTTTTTTTTCCAAACCGAAGATGTCTTTTCAAAAACACCGTCTTTTTCACATTCCGATGAAGGACAATCTTGGAAGTTATTTTTTGCATACCCAGCGAAATTAAGTTTGAAGAAGACTCAACTTCCGAACACGCCTTGGTGAAATTTGGTGCTGTTCTCATAATGTCGCGTTTATCTTAATCAAAAAGCAAAGAATAACGTCCGGAGCCCTTCTAAGTTCCATTTCTACAGGATTCAAAAAGAAATTGCTAATCATTCCGTAGTTTCGACGAAATTCTCGCGCAATGTGACCACCTGGCGTTTTCTTTTTTGTGACGATTTCCCCTTTTTCGAAGTCCAATAGTTGCTTTCCTTTCCTGATAACCTAAGAAAGAACAATTGAGGACTGCCAATCAGTTTCATCGAGCAGAAATGAAATGCAACGAAGAAACACGGGGTGGCTGTATCATTTGGAGACGATGGAAAAGCGACCCTTTCTGGAAAAATTAGGATAAAATTTTTCGCATTTTCAACCTGGAATTTTGTGTTGATTTTCGAATTCGCGACCAAATTTGACACAGTTTTCCTGTTGGACATTTTTCCAGAAACTTTGTGGAATTCGAGATTTTGAACAATTTCTAGGTGGCTGTATAATCAGGAGACGCAGGAGAGTAGCTTGGTTGTGGACCAGTGGAAAGTGTGCTTGCCGCAGTGACTTTCAAGTAACATCTGATGCTCTATTCAATTTATTACATATTCTAATAACTATGTGAAAATTCTGAGCATTGTTGAAGATCCATTCGAAACGTTCCCAGGGCGTCTCATCCTGGAACTTGTCGTGTTTATTTCAAGAAGTGGTGAGATCTTGTGCCTGAAAACGAAATTGTTCAGGTGGTGCCGATATACCCTTTTTGCATGTGAAGTTTGCGCAACAGAGATTTCGTGATGGAATGGTCCTCACGCACACACAAATGCCTTTCTTCCGTGAATCGCACCATTTTCAGAAGGTACCTAACCGAAAATACCTTTTGCCATGAAACCTCGCCATTCTTTCTGGCTTTTTTAGTGTTGTACCGTGAAATTCTATTCTTTGAACTACTTGCGAGATCTTCATCCAAAACTTTCATCGACTACCTTTCTGCGATGCCTTCTTCGGGCCTAAGGTGGGGGGGGGGACAGTCAACGCTAATCACAGCCATCGAGAGCTGGTGCTTTTGAGGGCTTACGATAATGTAATTATCGTTGCTGATCTAAAAATCTGATAACAGAATCAGAACATCAGGAATGCTCATAAATAACCTGGGAGATAGGTTATTTATGAGCATTATCAAATTGAACCTCAAGAGGCGCGGATTTTAGTCCCTCCTGGGGCGAAAGTTTTGTTCACAATCCTGCATTCTTGTGAAAGGTTGTGAGAGTGGTTATTTTCCCACGAGTCAACTCCGAACTGGAACAATATCAAACGTGCGGGGGGGGGGGGAGGAGGAGGGGGTGTCATGGCATCGAAATCGCCAAAAATATTTAACAAACGTTCGAAAACCTTTAGACATAACAGGCGGTGACTTTGCGGCCAACCTAATCGGAGTCGACACAGATTTCAGTGAAAGCTACACCAGCTGCACACCTCGCAAAGAGTTTGACAAGCGCTGAGTGGTTTTTTTATATTTCGTTTCGTTCAGAGTGGGATGTAGCTCAAGAATGTATAGAAAAGAGTTTCATCGCCAGATTCTCATTGCTCACAATCTAGAGGTAGAATAGTCAGGGACGTTCAACTTTAGGCGAAACCGCCACAGAGCACTATGACAAAATCCAAGTCCATATTCTCTGAACAAATCTGTGAACACATTCTTGAGCTCTTACAGTACGTACTAGGTCATGGATTTATCTACGCAGGAATCCGAACAAACCCACAAGCTCATTTAACACCAAACCTTGTTCTTGTGAATTGGGCGCAAGAACTCTTGAAATGTCTTCAACACTGGACGAGTAACATTGAGATGACACATAAGAACCTGAAGTAATTACAAGTTGGGTGGGTCCCCTTTCTGGTCAAGCTGAAACGTACCGCTAGAAGAACAGGATATGGTGTCCTCACGGGTAGGTGCCTCGGCTGTACTACAACGGCTGTGTAAGCAGTTGAGCAGGATGAACAGTTGAGTGATCGACATAATAGTAAACGCCACAAGAGCTGCAACCACATGCGAGCGCATCAGACAGAATTGGTCGACAGGCATTGATGAAAACTCTGGAAAAAATCTCGAAGAATGTAAGCATGGCAAATTTCCAGCGCCCTCAGTTGCGGTTCGTGTCACATCGGGTAGAGATAATTGATCGAAGGTAAAGCTTCACTTCTGCACTGAAACCCGTGATCATTTTCTGAAGGCTTTGGTATCTATTTGTTATATGTGATTGCAGCTAGCGAGACGTTTTCACCTCCTTGTCTGTGCCAAGCCTTGAAAACCCTGATGCATTCCGTCCAGCGACACATGCAGTTCTACTAACGTAAGTAGAATTGTCTCATAAAAGCGGAGCTCAAACAAGGGGAAAATTGCACAGTTGGGAGAGAGGCGGTCTCCTGACGGTGCTGATCGAATTGCTGATTGCTGATCAATTGACACTGAAAGATTTAACATAGCATGGCTCACTTCTTGCGCGGTTGGCGGGGCACGCCCACCGACTATCTGATCACTCGCCGCAGGTCTATACGTGGCGAGTGATTAGATAGCAGAGAGAGCGTAGTGTTGAAGAGGGCACAGCGATGAGAGTCGCATCAATGCGCAAATCAACGGGCAAGGAAGGGGTCCCATTTCTCGGGTTCGGGCCGTTTCAAATGGTTTCTTCTTCATCCTGCTCCACTGACCACCTCTACCCTTATTTCCAATTGGCTGCCTTTCATCGTGGAATTCTGCCTTCGAACGATGTGGAACGACAGTTATGTACGATGGTTTAGGGAAAGCTGAAATGTGAAAATGGATGAATAAGTATATAATGGAATGAAACTGAGATAATTAATGTTGGACAATAGCACTCACGATGGATGTGTTACAAAACACTGGAAAGAATACGTACAACTCTATATTTCTTCTTTGCTACTATGTGCTGTTGAGCAGCTTTCGTAATACAAAATGAGAAAAGCGCCGAGACCCGAAAAATCGCTAAATAGAGAACACTTAGCTGTAGGTAGAGAGCTTTGCGCCAGACTTCTAGCTATACTTGGGAAAGAGCTTACTACCTGTAATAGCCAAGGATTCTATTAGTCACGAAGGAAGTCGTAAATTTTGGATGCAAGCTGCGAGGGTACTACGATCTTAGTCTGAATTCACGGGACACATATAAGACAAGCGAGCACATGTACGATGTCGATGCCCTTCAGAAGACAGTAAAGTTGCGCTCGCATCATCAAAAAAACCTTATTTCCTCAACTGTAAATAGTGATTAGATAATATATAATAAGTCAGTCACAGTCTCTTGATTGCCATATTTTGTGAATTGAACCCGTCGGATTTTTTTTTCGAAACAGAGCTTTGGGGCAGGAAGAATCAAGCGTTCATCTATAATATGCTTAAGAAGCACCTCACGAATTCTCTCTACTCTCCATGGCTCACTGCTAGCCGTTCATCTCATGAGGAAAGGCTCTCATGGTCAGGTCGATATGGCCATTCGAGATGAGACGTATACAACTAGCCTTCAGACGGAGGAAGATTTGACAACACCGTCTGTGCCTTCAGACGGTGTTCTCAAATCTACCTTCCAAATCTGCTAAACGATTCTCTGAACGGAGTTATGAAGCAAAACAGCGCAACGGCAGTGGTCGGGACTCACAGTCAAAACGTCGTAGGATCGGTCCCTTATCGTAATTACTGTTTTGCATTCTTCAGGAATTCAGTTAAATAAGCTATTAAAAGCCGTTTAGCTGTATTTCTGAAGAATGGAAAACAGTAAACACGATAAGGGACCGATCCTACGACGTTTTGACTGTGAGTCCCGACCACTACCGTTGCGCTGTTTTGCTTCATAACTCCGTTCAGAGAATCGTTTAGCAGATTTGGAAGGTAGATTTGAGATCAGCGTTCAAAGGCACATCTAGGTATCTCATCTAGAATGGCCATGTCGACCTGACAAGGAGAGCCTTTCCTTTCAGTTTATTCATGCTGTGGAGATGAGCGTTCCAGGGAAGTGTCTATCGTAAAAATAATTTATAGATGTCTTAAAGCTTCTGAACGCAGGTCTCATCGGAAACAATCTATGATTTTGGCGCCTAAGTGCTTAGGCAAATGCGGGGTCGTTTCCGAAAATGATTAATTGGGCGCCCGAATTCCAGGGGGTGTTCGAGACGGCCCGCTGACAGCTCAGTCGCATTTCATCTTTCCATTGTGATTGAACCGACGCACCAATGCATTCGGTTCGGCAAGAAACACTACCAACGTCTACCCTGAAAAAGCCACATACCTGGTCGTTGTCGTTTAGTCTCCTTCTCAGTGATCGTAATTGTTCCAGTCACAACGCGCTTCTTCACCTGTCTGCCCTGGAATACTGCAATTTTGGGTCTGATCTTTAGCCCTGTCACCAGCGGCACATAAATGGCATCTGCTTTGAAATGGCACTTCCATGTACCATTCGGGAGTCAAAAACCTTTGAATTATAAAACTATTACAGGTATTGGGTTGGAGCATAATATCGTAGCGTTTTTCTTTTCGAGCTACGAATTCAGTGAATACAAGTATTACCCAGGAAATCACATATATCATTTGAAAGTACTTCTTCTGCTCTACAATACCATGTTTGGCATTTTCTTCTATACTGTAAGTGTACTCAGATATGGCGCTTAGAAGTTGGAGAATCAAGGTGGGCGAAAATCTATATGAGAAAAAGCTGCCAAAATAGGAGTTTTTCGGAATCCATCGTCATCATCGAACCTTACTCCAGTCGACCCTTAATTTCAAATCATATTCACGTCGTACAAATTGAGAATAATGAGGATTCTAAAAACGGGCTCACTACCCTTTTTTGATTTCTAAACCTCCGGTAATTTCTTGCGAAATGAAACCGAAAAATACACATAAATAAGATCGCAGAAGAATCAATTCAACCTAGCTCCAGTTTTTTTGCTTTGTTAAATTTTTTTTTGCCGAATGCAACCGCCCATAGCAAATATTTATGCTCCTAACCCAATCTATTTTCCATAGGATTTACGTAGGTTGGCCTAGGGCAAACCTTTTGCGCCACTGCCATAAACGGCACTTTGCTGATGTAGAATTTTCTCGCTCGTCAATATCCGTCCGTTTTCTTACCTTTTCAGAGACTGATTTCTGTATGGCTGGCACCGAGACTTGGTCTCATCTCACTAGTTCTAAAGGACTGTTGATAAATCAAAAGTGCCCTCATTTGGCTTATTTCCCATGATCTGTCAGACAACCCGCTTTGCTTTCTTGTTAACAGTTTTGCAAATGATTTTCGAATAACATAGTGTAATAGGAGCCCAATCCATTATGTGTAAGAGTTGTGGTTTACTTTAGTAAACAATTCTCTTCTTGAAAGGTAGAAATAGCCGTTCATCTACCACAATAAATTCCGAGTATTTAATCAAACACATCTCCCATCTTCCCTACAATCTGAAGTTTCTGGAATCTAATATATTGTATAACTTTTTTAAGGGTCATTTAGGGCGAAGGTTATTGGTCGAGGTGGCACGCTCACCCACCAGCGAGCGTCCCTGGAATCAAATCCTGGGTCGCCCAGGCCAACTAAGCCTTCCATCCCTCCGGGGTCGGTTAATTGGTACCAGACGTGTCTGGGAGGATTAAAAACACTGACTTGAACATCGGCTGGCCCCCGCAAGTCATTGTATAGGCCACATCGCATTCAAACGCCACTACGAATGTACAAATGGAAGTAGAATGCATGCCGCATCCCAAAAAGGGATTGGTCAAATCCAAATGCTTTCATTGCTTTTTGCTTTATTTAGGGAGTGGGATTCAAAGAGTAGCGTAGTCCCCGTTTCGCACGTGCCCTTGGACGAAGACCTAAACGACAAGTTAACAGCTATCAGCTAACCATCTAACAGTCAACATTCGTTGCGCGTGAACGTTCTTGACGCGATCAATGCCGTGTACCCCTAACCTGTATCCACAGTTACTAAATGGACTTTCCAGAAATTCTATGTGCAACCCGTAAGGCCGTGAAAAGTAACCCAACCACTGGTTACCAGTTCCGCGGACACAAACTGCATGCCCCTTGCCCCTTTATTCCTCACGTTTTCTAATCCAAAATAAGCCACTTTTTCAGATAGGCATTCAAGGGCATCTTCGACACTCCCCAACCGAAATCTGAAGCAAAAAAGTATCCCTCATTCTCGTCCTTCTTCTATCTCAATTCGATATTCTTCGTCCCGGATTCTAGCCACTTGAGTGAAAGCTTGAGAGGAGGGATGGCCTCAGTGCATGACACGCTGCCGTCGAGTGAAATTCATTTCAAACGGTTTTTCAAGACAATTGAAGGAAACTCCAGAAAATGGGCACTTTCTGGAATTAACGGGATGCCTAACCAGGGTTCATGGGATGTGCCACGCCTCCAAAGCCCACACAGAGCCCATTTAAAGCTTTTCGAATGCTTACTTGCCTTATGCAAAGATGATTTGTTGGTGTTTATATGCTCAAGGTCGTTTTTGTCTTCTTGAAGAAATCTAACATCAATTACTTGACTCCAAGAGATGCATTGCTTAGATAGCCTCGCTGGGATTCTGTTGATGGAACAAGCAAACATTAGCGGCGCCTTCTTTGTCTTAGAACCAGAACCATTTTAGCCTATCCCGTGGGGACTCGCAAGTATTCATCTGCATTTTTCAGTATTCAAAATCTGAAGGCCTGACTCAATCCAAAGGACAGCTGGCAATCACTTCATACTCATTGTCTTCATGCTGGGAGCTGCGCTTCATTCACTTCTCATGTTTGCGGTCCTTCGAAATATTCATGGTTTTTAGTGCTTTGGTCATGGTTTAGCTCCACGCAAAACATGTATTCAAAATCTATTACTTCCACAACGACTTGTTGGAGTGAAATATGCTTCACGTCTAAACTCAGGAACCCCAATTTTATCTACTGTACTTTAAGAATTTGGCTGGAATGTTTCTCTTTATCCTGATACTCCTCATCTATATATTGGCTTGTCCCACAATTTCTATCCGAATTTCGGCACTTTTTTCTCTCCAAGG